CACCGTAAGCTACTGAAACAGGTGTTTGGACCAAATCAGTCTTTAGATAATCTGTTGCAACTCGCTCAGACAGTCTATTATGGCAGGGAATATGAGAAGAAAGAAAGGGAGAGGAAGACCAAGGAACAGGCGGAAGCCCTTGTTATGGCTGTCAGAACCGTTCTTAAACAGCCTGAGAAAAATGCCCAGGGGGCCCGGGTGAGAGGGATGGGCTTGCCATTACGGTGGAAAGGAGGGGCACCTCAAGCGGGATTGCCCTCAGGCCTCTCGGCCGCCCCCGGCTCCATGTCCGGTCTGCATGGGGCCACACTGGAGGAGAGACTGCCCCCAGAGGCATAGGTCCCAGGGGTTGGATTCTCAAGACAATCAGGACTGAAGATGCTCGGGGGTTCCCCCGCAAGCTCCTGTCCTAATTACACCTGAGGAACCTCGGGTATTAATAACTGTGGAGGGCCAATCCATCGATTTCCTTTTGGACACTGGGGCAACTTAATCTTTGCTTACTGAAGCCCCTGGCCCACTTTCTCCCCAATCCACTTGCATAATGGGACTGTCTGGACAACCCAAATGTTATTATTTCAGTTGTCCTCTAAGCGGCAACTGGGACTCTGCTGTTTTCACACAAGTTTTTGATCGTGCCAGTCTCCCTCACCCCTTTTGGGGAGGGATATACTGAGAAAGGTCCATGCCTCTGTTTTCATGAATATGGAGCCCTTCCTTTCTCCCCCATTAATTTAACAAAATATAAATCCTAGGGTGTGGCCTGATGGAAAGACTGTGGGTTGCACACAAAATACTATTCCTGTAGTTGTCAAGCTCAAAGACCGGAACCTATTTCAACATCAAAAGCAGTATCCGCTGAAACCGGAGGTTAAGGAAGGGTTAAAACCCATCATTGAGAATTTAAAGGAGCAGGGGCTGTTAATTCCCTGTAACAGTCTGTGCAACACTCCTATTTTGGTTGTGAAGAAGTCAAACGATAAATGAAGGCTAGTTCAAGATTTATGAAAAAATAAATGACACTGTAGTTCATTTACATCCCGTGGTGCCTAATCCTTATACTCTATTGCCTGAAATTCCTGAACGAGCCAAATATTTCTCAGTAATTGATTTAAAAGAAGTGAAAGTGAAAGTCACTCAGTTGTGTCCAACTCTTTGTGACCCCATGAACTGTATAGTCCATGGAATTCTCCAGGCCAGAATACTGGAGTGGGTAGCCTTTTCCTTCTCCAGGGGATCTTCCCAACCCAGGGTTCAAACCCAGGTCTCCCGCATTGCAGGCAGATTCTTTACCAGCTGAACCACAAGGGAAGCCCAAGGATACTGGAGTGGGCAGCCTACCCCTTCTCCAGCGGATCTTCCCAACCCAGGAATTGAACTGGGGTCTCCTGCATTGCAGGTGAATCCTTTACCAACTGAGCTATGAGGGAAGCCCAACTGATTTAAAAGATGCCTTCTATTCTGTACTGTTGGGGGAGGAAAGCCAATTTTTATTTGGCTTTGAAGACCCCACCCAGCAAGCTTTGCCCCAGGGATTTTGTGACAACCCCTACCTATTTGGGCAAAGTTTGTCACAGGATCTACAAAACTTTAATAGCTCTGAGACAGTGGTTCTACAATATGTAAATAATATTCCACTCTGTACTGAGACAGAGGAAGCTTTCTCTCAAGCCTTAGAAGACTTCTTAAACTTTTTGGCTGGCTGTGGTTGTAAGGCATCAAGAGAAAAGGCTCATCTTTGTCAACAATCTGTTAAATATCTGGGCCTAATCATATCAGAAGGGACTAGGGCCATAGGCTCCGAGAAAATTGAACCTGTACTAAATCATCCCCTGCCTGTGACTTTGAGACAGCTGAGAGGATTTTGGGGCATCACAGGCTACTGCCACATTTGGATTCCAGGTTATGGGGAACTTGCTTGGCCTTTATTTAAACTTATAACTGAAGCTCAACAAGGCCAAACTGACAAACTGGTTTGGTGTTCAGATACTCAAAAGGCTTTTAAGGCTCTTCAAACTGCTTTCCTGCAAGCTCCCACTTTGAGCTTGCCCACAGGATCAGAATTTAATTTGTTACTGAAATAAAAGGTATGGCCTTGGGAGTTTTGACCCAACCCCAAGGGCCTCACCAGCAACCTATAGGACACCTGAGCAGAGAGTCGGACACAGTGCACACGGGTGGCCACACTGTCCAAGAGTTCTTTCTGAAATTGCTTTATTGGCGCCTGAAGCTCTTACACTTACTAATGGGCAAAATCTTACTGTACTGACTTCTCATGATGTGAGTGGAATCTTAAACTCTAAAGTTAATTTTTGGATGACAGACAGTCAGCTTCTTAAATATCAGTCATTGTTGTTAGAAGGACCAGTAACTAAGCTTAAAGTTTGTGGAAACTTAAATCCTGCCACTTTCCTTCCTGAGAAGGAAAATGAAACATCTGATCACGATGGTTCCCAATTTCTAATTTTACACTATGCAGCCCGGAAAACTCTGATGGATACCCCATTAGACAATCCTGACATGGCAATATTTACAGATGGCAGTTTATTAGTTCAGATTGGGAAGCATAAAACAGGTTACGCTGTGGTGTTGGCTGAACAGGTTTTCGAAGCAAAGTCTCTCTACCCGACCTGCCCCCCACCCCGCCCCCACCCGGGAATGAGTGCTCAGCTAGCAGAACTCGTGGCTCTGACCTGAGCGCTAAGAGTTATGCAAAGGGCAGCAAGTAAATATCTGCACTGATCCTAAGTATGCTTATTTGACTTTACATGCTCATGCTGCAATATGGAAAGAAAGACAGTTTATTTATTAATTTATTTATTTTTGGCGAAAGACAGTTTAAAACGGCAATAGGGTTAGGTGTTGAGAGCACTTACCATATGGCTTCTCGTTTGTTTAAAGGTAAAAATGTAATGAAAACTTTAAAGAACATTATCAAAAGATGTAAGGGTTGTCAGAAAAATAACCCAAAGACTGAAAATCTAGCAAAATCTGTTATGCCCGATGTCCGAATTTCCCAGCAGGAAAAGACAAGACCTCCTCGACAATGCAACACGCAAAGGAAGGGAAATTTATTGCTGACTCGAGTCAGGGCCCCTGCTGCAACCAACGCAGTGGGGCAAAGGCAGAGAGCCCCGAGCCCCAGTTTCCACGCACATTTATAGGGTGCTCGATTTCAAACATAAGCAGTGGGTAGTTAGCACAAACTGATTGGTTACATGTTTGCGAAGCAATTTCATTGGTCAAACACACTTTAAAACTTTCGCGTGCGCGCGGGACTTTCCAGGGGACTCTTCAGGAGGCTTACTTACTGGGCGCGTCTGGGCGCATGCTGATTGGCTCGCCTCTGGTGGCCTGTTGGAGGAGGAGGAGAATCACCCCACTCTTAGGCCCCCTCCTAGCGCAGGGCGCCTATCAGGGCGCTAGTCTTGACAGTCTCACAAATCTAGGTTACAACAAAGTGAAAAATATCCTGGCGAGGCCTGGGAAATTTATTTTACTCATACGCCATATGCTCAAAGCAAATGGATATTTTTGCTTACGAGTTTGGGTGGATACCTTTACTGGATGGATTGAGGCTTTTCCCTGCCTTAGTGAACAGGTTAAGGAGGTTATAAAAATTTTAATCCATGAACTTATCCCCGGGTTTGGGCTGCCGTGGAGCCTTCCGAGCAACAGTGGCTCCACGTATAAATCTGCTGTAACACATGGGGGTGTCAAAAGCTCTAGGAATAGTGAAAGGTTGTTGTTGAACGACAAGACGCTGGGATTCTTGGCCTCCGGAGGAGATGAATTCAATCCGGGGCCAGAGACAAGGCTGGATCGCTCAGAGCTTTTGTGTAATAAAGTTTTATTAAAGTATAAAGGAGATAGAGAAAGCTTCTGACATAGGCATCACAAGGGGGCAAAAGAGTACCACCCTCGTAGTCTTTAGCTGTATGTTATATAGTCACTCACAGTCTGTTAATGAAAAGAAAGGAGTGTCATAAAATTTAGAATGGCACCAGATAATTCATCCCTGGCCATAAAACGATTGACTTGAATCTTGTAGAAGGGCAGAATACCAACAAATAGTTTCGTTTACATAGATTAGGGGAACAATACCTGAGTAAGTAAATTAGGCCGTTTGGTGGAACCAACTTGAAGATAGAGTCTGGGGTACGTTAACATAGCTTAAGACAACATTTCCATAAGAAAAAGAAATGTATTGGTCAACTCAAGGTTTGAGAGCAGTTAGCTTTAGGTGAGACTAGGTGTCATGGCAACACAGCATTTTAAGAGAAACCTCCTTTTAAATTTGTATAGAGAAGGAAAAACATATCGCTGGTTTGTTTCTTCCTGTTGCTTAAGAGAGATAAAAATGTCTGGCACTTGCAGCCTCTTTCCTCCATTTGGAGACCCGTGGCCTTCCTGCCTGTTACCCTCTCAATAGACTACCACTTACACTGTTCCTGGATACCTCAATCCTCAGAAAAGGTTGAAAAAGCTAATCACATTATCAAAAGACATCTGTGCAAATTAACTCAAGAGATGCGGGACGATTGGCTTAAAGTTCTACCCACAGCTTTAATGAGGGCTCGAACTGCCCCCCAAAAGGAGGGATTGTCCCTCCTTGAATGTATTTATGGAAGACCCTTCTTATGCACAGACATTGTTATAGACCCTGACGCCTTGAGATTAACTAATTATGTAACTCAGCTCTCAGCTTTTCAGTAGGCATTAAAGAAACTCCAGGAGGTGACTCCTGACACAACCTCTGAGTCAAACAAGCCACTGTTTGAACCAGGAACCGAGTTCCTAATAAAAACATTGGGGTCTGGGGGGCAATCTCTCAAGCTTCTCTGGGAAGGCCCTTCCCAGGTTATTCTCTCTTCTCCCACAGCTGTCAAAGTGGCAGGAATTGATTTGTGGGTGCACCACACTCGAGTTAAGAGGTGACACCCTGACCATAACTAGTGATGTCATTTTATGTTTTCATGCTCTTACTTTTTACTTTCCAGATGGGCCTGATGAACCATGTGAGCTTGCTTCTGCTGACTCCAAAAATCCTGAGTCTGCCATTTGACCCTCAAGATAATGTCTTCCTGTCCTGGGCTCACTCCTACACCACATTCCATAATCGGTCTAATTGCTAAGTCTGCAGAACACTCCCCTCTTCATCAGTGGAAGGCTTCCTCTGGTTGGCATCTCCACATCAGGGAAAGGACTTTCTCCAAGTCTTCAAATACCTTCGACAACAATCGTATGTGATGACTCTTCTTAATCTGATGACATCTAACAATCCTAAAACGGACTGGTGCAACACATTGTACCTTAACTATGGACATAATGTGACTTTTAACTTTGCTGATTGTTCTGTTTTTGCTGTTTGCTCCCTACATCTGTAACTGTGTAGCTGGGTTTGTTTCTAGCCTCATGAAGGCTTTTAAGTTACAAATGGGTTGCTCTAACTGAGAGGGTAACAGGCAGGAAGGCCAGGGGTCTCCAAATGGAGGAAACAGGCTGCAAGTGTTAGACATTTTTATCTCTCTTAAGCAGCAGGAGGAAACAAACTAGTGATTTTTTTTTCTTCTCCATACAAATTTGAAAGGAGGTTTCTCTTAAAATACTGTGTTGCCATAATGACACCTGGTTTCACCTGAAGCCAACTATTCTGAAACCTTGAGTTAACCAACACATTTTTCTTATGGAAATGTTTGTCTTAAGCTATGTTAATGTGCTATGCATTTATCCCAGACTCTGTCGGCTCAGAACCTACTTGACAAACCAGTATGTTATACTCAGATATTGTTCCCCTAATCTATGTAAATGAAACTATTTGTATGGTAATCTGCCCTTCTACAAGATTCAAGTCAATCATTTTATGGCCTGGGATGAATCATCTGGTGCCAAGATTATCCCAAAATGCATCTTATGGATGAGGGGCCTAGTGCCATTCTGAGTTTTAAGACATCCCTTTTTTCATTAACAGACTACTAGTGACTATATAACATCCAGCTGAAGACTAGCAGGGGTTACTCTTTCTGCCCCCTTCTGATGCCTATGTCAGAAGCTTTCTCTATCTCCTTTATACTTTAATAAAACTTTATTACATAAAAGCTCTGAACAATCCAGCCTAGTCTCTGGCCCTGGATTGATTTCGTCTCCTCCAGAGGCCAATAATTCCGGCATCTTATCGTTCAGCAACAACCTTTCATAACTCCTGCAACTGTGGCAGCTTCCTCCAACTACTACTTGGGGCCCCTGGATCATAGACCCTCAATATGAGGGTCAAGAGACTATGTTGCCTCACCAATCTAGGGACGACACCCCTTATCAGCTCAGAAGCAGTTGTGGAATGAGAATGATGACCCTTTCCCAAGGCAACATAATTCTCCTGAAAGAAAGTTTGGGAGTGAGGGGGTAACAGGCAGGAAGGCCAGGGGTCCCCAAGCGGAGGAAATAGACTGCAAGTATCAGACTTTTCTTTCTCTCTCTCAAGCAGCAGGAGGAAACAAACTACAAGTGTCAGACTGTTTTGTCCTTCTCTATACGAAATTAAAAGGAGGTTTCCTTTAAAATTCTGTGTTGCCATGATGACACCTGGTTCCACCTGAACTTAACTTTTCTCAAACCTTGAGCTAACCAACGCGTTTTTCTTATTAAATGTTTTTCTTAAGCTACGTTAATGAGCTATGTATTTACCTTAGAATCTGGCTTTCTTCAAGTTGGTTCCACCTAAGACTCAGAACTGATAATGGCTCAACAAACTGGTATGTTTTATTCATGGAAATGTTCTCTCAAGCTATATTAACGAGACCATGTATTTGCTTATAAATCTACCTTTCTTCGAGATTCATGTTAATTGCATTATGGTCCAGGATGACTCACCTGGTGCCAATGCTTTCTCAAAGTGCATGTTGCGGGTGAGGGGCCTGGCGCCACTGTCTCGGTTTTTGGCATTTCTTTTCTCTAATTAGCAGCTTGCTAATGGGCATATAACTCCTTGCCAAAAACTAGCAAGGGGACACTCTTTTTGCCCCCTTCTGATGTCAATGTCAGCTTTCTCTATCTCTGTTATTCTTTAATAAATCCTTGTTACACAAAAGCTCTGAGCGATCAAGCTGCGCCACTGGCCCCAGATTGAACTCCTCTCCTCCAGAGGCCAAGAATCCCAGTGCCATTCATGGCTCACAGCAGGAACCTTTCAGTCTGAGCCACAGCCGGCTCCCGATCTTGTTTTTGCTGGCTGTATAGAGCTGGATGGTTTATTAACTATAATTGTCAGACTGCAGTTCCAGAGCTTCTGATTTAGTAGATTTTCACACATCAGTCCAGGCACCAGGATGAAAATCGTTGTGCCATTTGGGTAAAACTTTTAAAGAGTTAAGATAATACATCTTAATACATAAAAAGTCTTAATTTGAAACAAGAAGATTGCTAAGTGACTTCTGTATTAGGGCATTGTGAACTGAAATAAAAATGTAAGCATCAAAAATAACAGTAAATAAAGTGTTTTGTCAGAGAACACAGACAAAAGCAACATAACTTTATTATTATTTTTTGCACATAATAGATCTATTTACACTTAAGCAACATAACCTTTAAAAAACCAAATTTATCCTGTAGTTAGACTAATAAACTTGACTATTAGTTTTTTGTGAAGCAAAATTAAGAGTAAATATACTCTATGTGGTTTTAAAAAATCTTATCTAAGTTCGTTTCTTGATGGAATCTATTTTTAAAAATTTCCTATGTTTATTTTGGTAATCATTTTTCTGTTGATTATTTCTTGTGTTTGGAGCTGTAACAGGAGGGAAAGGGGCAGGGTACAACTTTTGAAAGAGTGACATGGCCCAAGGACACAACCTAAACCCATTAGGATCAAATGGGACCAAGAAGGCAGACAGAACTAGACCTTGATCTTCAACCAACAAGTGAAATACACACCCAGAGGCGCCATGGCAGTTCCAAGGCTCCATTCAAAGACCAAGGAGTGGGCTCGACCCAAATCCTGGAAATCTCCACCCCTTCCCAAAAATAGATGGAATAGTCTGCCCACTCATTAGCATATGAAATGACCCAGCCGTAAAAACTAACCACACACTTTTGAGGCCACACTCGCCCTCTGCAATGGGACAAGCTCTTTCTGTGGAGTGTATTTCTCTCTGAATCTGAATAAATCCATTTCTTACCTATCAGTTTTCCTCTCACTGAATTCTTTCTCAATGAGACATCCAGAACCTGAGGTTTATTAGGCCCTGAAACCAGGGACCATGGGTTTTGGCTGTGTTCAAGTCCCAGCCACATGAGTTCAAATCCTAAGCAGGGTTTTGGCTTGGTTCAAGTCCGAATCTCTGGTAAATGGTATCAGCTGGTGACCACGAAGGGACAGTGATAAGGTAAGAAAAGGTTTAGAGTCAGTTCTTGGTCTTAAAGAGGCCCCTGGAACACCACGAGCCAGGTATGTTGGGGAGGATGCTCTGCTATTGTCTGCTTATTTGTGACTGGCCAATCACAAATCCCGTATACGCACATCCAGCAGTAGGTCTAGGACAGAATTGTATCTAGGCCAGATTCTCTATGACTCTGAGGTTTTTCTCCTACTTTCTTGTGTTCTTGTTCATTTCTGCTCTATTTCTTCTGTTCACCCCAGAAGATTTCTTTTATTCCCCTCCCTCTAACCCTTACAAATGCTGACCCTTTATTCCCAGCTTACAACTAGACCAACACCATTGAGGACATCTCTGTGCCATTTCTTTGTGACAACTTTTGGGTACTAACAACCGGTTGGGAGACTACCTTGGAAGGGATAGCATCTAAAATTGTAAGTGCAAATCTTGACCAAATTGTGTGATGGATTTTTACCTAAGGGTAAAATTTTTGATAGAACAGGAGTTAGAGACATCATCTCTGGTTTAGGTCTAAAATGGGTCAGGCAGCATCAATCCCAACCAACACCCCCCTGTGTCTTATCCTCCAGGATTGAGAAAGATTCTGACTACTGGGATTAACAACAAAAAAACTTATTAGGCTATGTAATGATGTTTGGCCACAATATGAGCTAGGAAGCCAAGAAAAGTGGCCACTAAATGGGTCCCTGAGTTATGATACTATATTGCAGTTAGATTTATGTTGCAGAAGGAAATCTACATGGAGTGAAGCTTCAATACGTTCACATTTTCATGGCCTTATATTTAGACAATGAGACCCAAAAGGAATTTAAGGTATGTGTAGCTCAGAGGGATAATTCTAGTAAGGACTCAAAAGACTAACTGATCTATGGCCCCTATGGGGCCATTCAAGGGTTAAATCCTCTGCAAGGAGGAGCCAGAGCTACTCCTGGCCTAAGGAGAGGAACCATTGCCTCAGGGGAAGACAGAGCTAGGGAAGAAAAGAAGCCCCACCCATATTCAGGAACCTCTTCTTTGTACCCTGAGTTACCCAAGGGGCCCATCCTTAGCCTGGTTAGCACTGGCAATAATTTAAGTTAGCAACCAACTGCTTTGCCTCTAAGAGAAGTTCCTGATGGAAACTGAGGAACAGTAAGAGTCTACGTGCCTTTCTCAATGTTTGATCTAAGTATGGCAGAGGACAAGTTGGGAAGTTTTTATGAGGATTCTGAATGTTTTACAAAAGAATTTACCTGACTACTGAGATCTTTTGATCTCACCTGGGAGGACTTACAGATTTTACTACGCCATTGCTGCACCCTGAGGAAAAGCAGGGTGTGAGGCTGGCAGCTGGAGCCTGTGCAGACCAGCCAGCAGCCCAGAGGCCACAGGGCCATGCCATGCACCAGGTGGGGATGAACCTGTCCCTGAGGCAAACCTGCAGTGGGATTGCCAGCTGAAGTCTATTGAGAGAGATAAATGGGATCATATGATTAACTGTTAATAGAAGGTATGATGAAACTTACAGTAAAACCTGTTAATTATGAAAAGGTGAAAAAGGCCCAGCAGGGACAGGATGAAAACCCTGCAGTCTTCCAAAGGAGATTAGGATGTATACAAACATGGGTATCTCCTCCTCTGAGGGATGGTCCCTTCTGGCTGTGCATTTCATAGCCCAGTCTGCCCCAGACATCAGGCACAAAATTCAGAAAGCAACTGTTGGTCCTCTGACTCCAGTGAATGATTTACTCCAATTGGCTTATTCAGTTTTCAATAATAGGGATAAGGCTGAAAAGGCCGAACTCACCCAGAGAGATATACAAGAGACCCAAATGATTGCAATGGCTTTGTGTGCTCAAAGACCACCAACCAGGAGGCTGCCCTTTCTGGGCCAGTCTGGCCCTGGCAGACCACAAGGCCCATGGGTACCCATACAAGGCCGTTGTATCCTGTGTAGCAAAAAGGCGCTGGCAG